TGGTTTCAGTCTGCTTCTACAAATCCATTCGAAAATTTTAATTCATTTTAGTGTTGGAAATCGAAAATTATGTCTACTTTTAATTATTTATTTGCGCAATTTTGTGACAATAATCGATGAAAATGTACTAAACTGATGAATTAAAATACACGCAAATTTGAGCTATATTTTGCAACAGAATTTAAGATAATTTCATCTGTATCACAATCTTTCATATATATAGAATATACAGAGATTATATGTATATAATAATATAGATATACTTGAAAATTATGTCTACTTTTAATTATAGAGCTATATTTTGCAACAGAATTTAAGATAATTTCATCTGTATCACAATCTTTCAAATATAGATATATTATCGAAAATTATGTCTACTTTTAATTACTTATATGCGTAATTCTGTAACAATAATCGATGGAAATTTACTAAACTGATGAATTAAAATACACTTAAATTTGATCTATATTTTGCAACAGAATTTAAGAAAATTTCATCTGTACCACAATCTTTCATATATATATATATATATATAGAATATACAGAGAAAATCAAACCACACAATCCCAATTTGCACACACTAATGAAACCACTAATTGCATCATGTCTCGATTTTCAAGCCGCAAGTTATCAGTCGTTAGATTGCGACACGTAGAAAGCCATAATCCATAAAGGATGGTACCGTTGTTGCGCAAACCGTCGTCTCGTCGAGGAGATCGTGTTTTCAACCTCCTTCAAACGTAATATCGTCTGGTAGGCGACGTCAAGAGAGACGTCTATCGCGATAAAATTGCTGCTTTCTCACAAATCTCAAAGATATACGGAGCCCATCGTTCTTGATTGTTTCTTTGAGCCCTGCTTCGCAGGGGAAGCAGCAGCTACCGTAAGTTGAACGAAGGGAGGAAACATATTTTAACCACATGAGAAATATCGTCGCGGTATCATTGGAGGAGAAATTATCAGAGAACTCTCTGTCAGATTGCGGTATCGACGGCGTCGAGGAATTTTTTTTTTTTTTCTTCTTTTCTACGTAGCTCACAAAAATATATTCGGACGCTGATCCAGTAGAAGAACTTCTACTCCAGCAGCTGAAAAATGTTCAGCTCGATCTAAAATTTTATTTCTAGATTTAATTTTATTTCTGATCTAAAAATTGTGCGTTGATGAACTTGCTCTTGCAAAAATTCGCGTGATTCGTATTTTATTCTATAACGTGGAGTACACATTTGCTTCTCGATTTGCGAACTTTTATTTTCAAAAAATTTTATTCTAACCCTTTGAGTTTCGTTTATATTAGAATATTGTACAGTACGATACAATATTGTATTGTGATCAATAATTGGTTAAATTTATTAAAGGTTCTAAACAGAACAATATATTACAATTATGTGTTATATATATATCAAATATATCAAAATATATCAAAAGACACGTGTTTCGAAATGAATACATTCCTACATGTTCAGTAATTTCAAGAAAACGATAGAATAAAATTAACTCTTGGCAGCTACTGTTTCAGATTTAACGAATAATGTCAAAGAAATTTGAAAATATTTTATATAACATGATATAAATGCATGCCAAGTAAACTGTGGATTTTTCTGCATTTGCAACACCTATGTATAATATATAAAATTTAACGACGCAGGAAAACGTGGAATATAGAAGCTACGTAAAATATAGAAAAGTATATGAAATATTTTTATAATAAAGTTTTTAATTTTAATCTCTACTCTTAATCTGTACATAAATTGCACAAAATGTACAGAAATATATAAAATGTTCTTACAACAAGATTTTTAATATCAATCTCTATTTAAATTCTATTTTCTTCTTTCTCTTTTTTTATTTTCTTTTTATCGTATTCGTAAAAATATTTCAAATAAAAAGCTGCAGCGTATTTCCGCGAGCCACTGTATTACTCTTCAGTCCTTCGTTCGTGACAGACTAACTGAAACTCCAGATTTCTTTACCTAACAGAGGCCAAAAAAAACTATGTCACGCTTCACCGCCGACTAATCTACCATTCGCATTCGTACCAGTACACATTTTCCGTTCCGGTTCCTTTCTATCAAGCTGTCCGGGGGCTCGAACCTTTGTCACGCGCATCGGGCAAAGCTTTCATGTGTTCCACGTGAGGTGAAAGCAATAGGGAAAAAACCAAGAAAGTAAACGTGAGAAAAGGATTTCGTCCAAGGATGTAATTAGAATACTCTGCGAAAACTATATAATTGGGTGGAGGAAAAGTTTTGTCGAAAATGTTTTTAACAAAAACGTTTTCTCTAATTTCTGGAAGAATAAAAAGTCAAAGCGAATCAATTGAAAAAGGAAAGTTTACACTTGTGAATATATAACGAAATGTTTCATTTGAAATATTCTTGATTTATGAAATTTCTTAATGTTGGTGTCCAGTGGTGTTAAATAGGGAGCCAGTTGAATAGGGAATTATAAAATTATATTAAAATTATATATATTATATTAGAAAATTATATTAAAATTATATATATTATATTAGAAAATTATATTAAAATTATATATATTATATTAGAAAATTATATTAAAATTATATATATTATATTAGAAAATTATATTAAAATTATATATATTATATTAGAAAATTATATTAAAATTATATATATTATATTAGAAAATTATATTAAAATTATATAGATTATTTTTCAAAAGACATTTAGCAAAACATATATACATTTTCATTTATTTTTCTACCAATTGATTCACTTCATTGTGTTTATTTTTATTTCTAAAAGAATGTTTTTAAAAAAATTGAGAGAAAATACTCTTAACAAAATTTTCCATCTCCAAACCTATAATTTGAAAAATTAGATCTAGAATGAAAAACTCTTATTTTACTTAATCATAAAGAAGTTTGAAGCAATGAACATATAATATTCTACGCATTGATTGATTCGCAACTTGATAAACTCGATGAAATCCCGGAAATACGTGTTCATTCACCCTGCAATGTTTTCACATTTTACGTAGATCGTAAAGTCTTATACATTTGCGTAAAATTTCTCTTCGTTTACACAGGCATTTTCAACCATCGCGAGCATAAAGTTTCCGACGAACCGCACCTTGTATTAAATTGTTTCAATTCGGAGTTTTTACAGCTGCGATAAATTTTATGACACCCTGCGGATTCGATTGCTCTATCATGACTGAATAGCAGGAAAGATACCAACAGTATTTCTTTAAACGCTATATTTATCGTAGAACAGTTCAATTATTTTATTGAGATCTTGAATAACGCCTTCGTTCAATTATTTTATTCAATTCTTAATTTAATTTAATTGGAATTGAATAAAATTTAATTTAATTAGAATTAAGTTAGAATTAGGTTACAACTAGAATAGGTTAGAATTGAAACGACGTATTAATCGAGTCTAAATAAATTATTTTATCGAAAAGAAACCGTGTAAAAAGCAAAATTTTCGATCGATATTAGAAATTACAGAAATTTTTATATATTGTTATTACTTGGAAATTTCCTTCGAGTTTTTTTTTTCTTTTCAAAATCGCGTAACTACAAACCTTGATCTGTTTCTGGTCGAATCGAATACCGTGTGGAACAACTAGAGGATATGTGGTCTTGCAAATTAGTGTTCTTAGCGTAACGTACGAGCAGATATACGTTGACAGGTCACGTTAAAAGATGTATGTACGCGGAGATGTGCCACAGTGATTTATAGATTTCGCGTCTAAATGAACTTGCCGTTTGTTTCAATTATACACGCCATTAGAACGCTTAATTAAATCGACTTTATTAACAGATTCGATCCGCGTGTACGCAGTGGCTTAGAAAATTTCGATACGAGATAATAAAATAACAGAGGACATTACAAGTTGTACGTAGTACTTTGAATACACATTCTTGAGAAATTTTATCACTATATATAGTTACACGCACGTTACCTAAAAATTTGGGAGAAAAATCAAAGAAAGAAAATAAAAGATGGAATAACGACGAATGATAAGAGTGGAAATTGAAAAATCGAAGTATACGTGTTTGTACAATTATTCAGAAATTTATTTAATATTCGCAAACAATCGGAAAAGAAGAATAAGAGAATAATACAGATATTCAATATTACTGTGTGCCTTAGGTAAAGTAAAAACATGAATTCCGATATTAAATAGTATAATATAATAAATGTTAATAATAAATATTATATATAATATAATGTGACGAATATCAGTAATAAATATTATATGTAATATAATGTGACGAATATCAGTAATAAATATTATATTTAATATAATATGACGTAAAGCAGTAATAAATATTATATATAATATGATATATAATATAATGTGACGAATATCAGTAATAAATATTATATATAATATAATATGACGTATAGCAGTAATAAATATTATATATAATATAATGTGACGAATATCAGTAATAAATATTATATTTAATATAATATGACGTATAGCAGTAATAAATATTATATATAATATAATATGACGTACATCAGTAATAAATATTATATATAATATAATAAATATTAATAATTAAATTTCGATATTTTTCCATCAATTTCCTCCGTTCCCCGCGGCTATTCCCAATCAACGTTCGTCCGCCGATTTACGAATTATCGCGGGATATTTAGACGCATAAATCCGCATCCAAACTGTGCATTCGGAATAATTTCGCTAAATGAAATTACGCAATTACTGCGTTTGCACGACGGTTTAATTAATATTTACCTACGCGGATCCGGGCTGAATATTAAATTGGTTTTCGGTAATTAACCGGGCCACCTGTTGATTTAAAATAACGTTTTCGGTATCATCAAGTCGCGGGAGAGACACGCGTTTCCGATCGCTCGGATGGACGCTGGACAGAAAGTGCAGAACGGCCAACCGGCTGTAGAAGCTGTTTGATGTTTGCTCGTGGAACGTTTCCACCGCACCTACGTATTTTTCTTAAAATTGTCGCTGGGTTTTTTGAGCTGTCTTCGTCATGTTCACAGGGAAACGTCTGGCAGCAGCTTCTCTCATTTCACTTCATCCTGGAGCTGGTCAACACCATTCCGTTCACCATCACGGTGAGTTATAATTGAATTGTTTAAATAATTCCTCTGAATTTTTCTTTCTTTCTTTTTAAATTTAGTAACAGTTTAGTTTAGTTGTAATTGCATTTTTCTTTCTATGCAAGTCAGACATTTGGACATTTTCCATTTTTTTTTTTTTTTTTTTTTTTTGCAAACATTTCAGATTAGATCAGGCATTGATCTAATCAGGTACTCAACTATGTTTAATTAGATATTTCGTTTGTTAGCGAAATTGCGGCGTTTGTGACGAGAATTTTAACTTGATACGAGTAATACTGTTGTTATTTAACAAAATACAATTGAACGAAATACGTAGAAAATGCAGTTGCAAATATAAGAATAAATTCAATGTGACGTGTTGAAAATTGTCCAACAATTTCTCCGAGAAATATTAAAGGAAGTTTAACCTGGGAAAATCGTGTTTCAATATTTCTCGGTTACAAGGAGAGTACCGCATGGCTGAACAATTTACCAAACGTAGATATATTTTCCAAACGTTGGCACGGAATTACATAAAGCCAGAAAACGACTTATTAAGTCACGGTTTTTGATAAGGGAGAGAAAAATCTCCCGGCTCAGCAACTAAAACGAACAGATTTCCGGCAATAAAACGAACGATATCATAACCGCGTGATCCTCTCCTGATTACCAGCGATGAAAGAAACGATAAAAATCTACGAGTTTTACGTTCCTTCGACACGCAATATCAGGAAATTCTAATTGAGTTCCGTATGGTCGGACTCCAAGCCACGATACACGACCAATCGGCCTTGGTTATGTTAACGAGCTATCATAGCGAAAGAGTAAAGAACTTGTTGCTTTGCATCGACTCGACTGGGTACACAGTGCCGATGTGCACACGGATATACAGGGTGTTCCGATACGATAGGACAAAGAGTGAGTTCTCGTGGAGAATGCGAGTCGAAAATGTGGAGGAAAATTTGTCGATTTGACGCATCATTTCTGGGACGACCGAGTTCGAAAAGTGCAATTTTTTAACGACATATTCAAAGTTTGTTTCCTTGAAAAATCCGAATCTCTAAATTGATTTATTTTTGCACGTGGAATCATCTCCCGTTAATTATTCCTTTCTGTTTTCTAGAAACTCATATTTGATAAATTTTCGAGAACGAAGCCTCAAATTAAAAAATTTTTTTCTGTATTTTCGACTTATTTTTTTCGTGAGAGCTCGTATAACTGTTAGAATTTCGTTATTTCGAACTGATAATTGAAAATAAAATAAAATTGAAACAATTGCATAATACACAGATATTTGAAATAGTTAAGAGGAGGAAGTAACCTGATAAATTTAAAGATATAAATTTTTTTGAAAATGAGCGTACAGTGTATAATATATTTCAGTGTACAATATATTTTAGAAACGGATAGACATATTTTTAATTCCAAAATTGTATGAAAGAACATTGAATGTATTCAAATAATTAAATACTGAATATTGAATCTTAAAGTTGTTCTTTTATAAAAAGTTACAAAATATTACGTACCTTTTTCTCAATTTAAAAAAGAGAAAAGCCTAAAATAAAGGGAAGAGAGGAAGAAACTAAAAGAAGTATAGCATTGCTTTTATTAATTCCAACACCCTAGAAAGAATGATCTGATTACTTAACAAATTTCTACTCTGAAACATTCTAAATTCTAACCAAATATATTGACAACCATATCCAATAACTAGACAGCAAATTTTTACGCATTTTTAGGAAATTTAATGATATTTAAAAATTCTATATTACAAAATTCTGTATTCTCGTTATAATATTTAACAGATGCAACGACACTTTTGCTAGATCTTAGTCTTTGCATATCAATTTGCATAAATGATGATCCATTAATAACCGGATCAAGATCTTCAACAAAGCAAAAATGCCTAACCACTTGATTGAATTATTCAATCTCAATTTAAGGTGCTTAATAGAGTTTCTTCGACGTGTACGATAAATTAGACGCGATCTCCGTCTATCGATCTGTGTCCTATTGGGACTAACCCCGATTCGAACGCGAACAGAGTTGAACAAAATCAGAGGATCATGCTATGCAATTTAATTAGACTCATTAGTTTTGCGTCACCTGGCAATGGTGAGACCGATCGAGTCCCAAGTGTAACTATATAGTCATTCGTAAAATATTTGCCCCGTCGGACGTAAATAAATCCGGTTTTAAGAAATTATCGATCTATCGATCTATAGCGTTAGATTGACATACATTTTCTAACGGTTATAGTCTTGGAATAAAACGATGTCCCTTGGTACGTCATACAGAGCTGTGCATGTCAAAGACACAACTGAATGCCAGTGGGTCGACAACGTATTCACTTTCTTACGATCGTTCAACTTCGAAATAACTACGAATTATCCTAACTCACTGCGCGAGCTAATTCACGAAATTGTCGTCTCTAATGATTCTTCTGCGCCTCGAGCTCGAAAATTGAAATTAGAAATTTCAGAATGATTGAAAACAAGATCAATTTTATCGACCAGGAAAAAATTTAGCTCAACTGTTATTGTCGATATAATATATTTTGTAAAAGTTCAAATAATCCACCGTTTGCTGGTACATTTCTGTCGATAAAATTCGTGCGGTGAGTGTTTGAAAAATTACGGGTTAATTTCGAAGTATTTGTGTGTCGTGTGACATTCTTTTTCTTTTTTTCTTTTTTTAAATCATGTACACAGCGGACGAAAATTACTCGCGATTTAATCTACTTTCACTGGCAATGCATTCTGGATAACAGTAGAATAACGTAAAAATAATATAATGATTAAAGTACGGAATAACGTAGAAATAAGTGCAGCTTCGAACGTTCATTTTTCAGGTCAGCATTTACATCGTATGACAAGCTATTCGTGACTTATGAACGTGGCTTATAGCTTTCTAACGAGTTTTCTAAGTTTTATTTTTAAAAAAACTCTGCCTCTAAGAACTTCTTTACTCCCCTACGTTCTACGTTAATGGCCGATTCGCGATTACAGTTATTTAACTATAGCCTACAAATATCAATTGTGACTTACCGATGGTAATAGCCAATGACGAAACTTTGTAGCTAATGATATATTCAAATCACATCGTCATTTCAACTCAGTCATTTAAATACAAAGCACTCGTCGCTTTCGTTAAATTTCGTGATTTGTTATTTATTTATTTGCTTGTAACCTAAGACAGCCAAGTATTGGCTCTCTTCGAGATTTCAAATCGCAGTCGAATTATAATTTTCTAAGATATATACGTAGATTTATTATACAGCTTCGATGCTCTTCAATTCACAAATTGTTTCTTCATTTCAAAGATTCAATTGTCTATCGTTTCAAAGCACAGTTTCGCTCTTCGCTTCAACGAGATTTCATACATGCATAATGTTGCTTCTGTCTTTTTAAAGAAAACGTTGTATGGGAGTGTGCAGTTTGTACCAACGGGGAAACAGTGACGGATGTTAACTAGTTTCGTGTTTGTTCTTGCACGTGAACGTCGCAGCCTTTGACGAGAGAGAAGCGAGAACAATGAGGGAAGTCATTGTTCTTGCATGCGTTTATAATTACGTTTGCAAACGTGCGTGCTCGACGGAATGGAATTCGAGAGCAGAAATTTCTGTTCTGTCAATTGCATAATCGAATCGTTTGGCAATTACTCAAATTGAGTCGATCTGTCGAGTCAATTGTTCGATCGATTTGACACACCATTAGACTCTTGAAATCGTACATAAATCTTTGTTTTACTGCCAAATTTTATCGAAAAGAATACACACTGACAAGTGTAGAGAAATTTATTAACACCTTGTAACTCGTAGAATTATACATTATAATATAATTAATATAATAATATAATTATACGATAAATTATACATTAATTTATTAGCAAAAAAGACAAATTTTTCTTTGTACTTTTAGCTACTTTATCCGCCAATGCGAAACCTGTTCATCCCGGTGTTCCTAAACTGCTGGCTGGCGAAACACTCGTTGGAAAACATGTTTGTAAGTAATTGACATTGGCTGGTTAATCTTAAAATTATTCTCAAATAATTTTCATTTCGTTATCGTCATGAGTTGCAGAACGATCTACACAGGGCCATGCAAAAATCCCAATCAGCTTTAAGTCAGCAACTGATGATCCTTAGTGCTACGTTACTGTGCCTTGTCTTTACTAGGTAAGTGAATCTCTGAATCATTTTAAACAGCTGTCCTCACGTTTGTCGCTCGTCAAATGTTAACGTGATAAAGATTTCTAAGCGTTTAAAAAATTAAAAATTCGTTTCATGAAATAAAATGCGATATTTACGTAATAAAATGTGCTTCTGATAAAAAAATATATATATATTTTAAATTTATATATATATATATTTTTTATATTTACATATATATTTACATATATATTTATTTTTACATATATATATATTTTTTTATATTTATATTTACATATATATACTTTTATATTTATATATATATTTTTTATATTTATATTTACATATATATTTTTTTATATTTTTTATATTTACATATATATTTTTTTATATTTATATTTACATATATATATTTTTATATTTATATTTACATTTATATATATTTTTACATTTATATTTACATATATATATTTTTACATTTATATTTACATATATATATTTTTACATTTATATTTACATATATATTTTTACATTTATATTTACATATATATATTTTTACATTTATATTTACATAGATATATATTTTTACATTTATATTTACATAGATATATTTTTATATTTATGTATATTTATTTTTTATATTTACATATACTTGAAGTATATATATACTTCACACCACCGTATAAATATTAATATTAGTATTAATTGTTTCGAAGTATCAGCCGTATACAGCAACCGTTTGCATAATAAACGTTGTCACAAGCGTTGCTGTTGACTTCTTCATGGTGTGCCTGAAACTGATTTCCCCGAAAAATCATTCTTGCAGTTGCTGTTCTCAACTATTATTCAAGTTTATCCAAACGCGCGTGTTGCGTAGCTCGCATACAAGTCATATTACATTACCCAAGTAACGAGGAAACTTTGCCAATCAGAACAGTTCCCATTTACGAATTCTCAGATTTCCTGCACGGTGTTACAATACAGACGGGGCGAAACAGTGACTCTAGGGTAATTCCCTCGATTCAGAGATTCTTTATACAGCGAGTTCACAAAGCGATCAATATCTCGCTGAGATTTGACAGAGATTCTCAATTAAATGGACATTAGATCGCGCAAAGTTATATATATATATATTTTTTTTTTTTTTGATCGCAGAAAAGAAACGATTAGAAAAATGAACGACACAGGAAGATCTGTTTTTCTACAATTTTACTTCTTTCGTGCAGACTATTTTCTTTTAAATGGAAATTTATGTTTTTTTTATGAACGATTAAAGGAAAGAATGAACGATGGAAGATCTGTTTTTCTACAATTTTACTTCTTTCATACATTTTCATACCATTTTTTAAAATGGAAATTTATACACGTACATAATTCAAGTATTTTTACAGGATTTTTGTACAGAATATTCTGTAATGACTCTCGTGCGCGTAAAAGTATTTTATTTAAAAACAACTCTTTTTATTAAAAAAAGAATTGAATTATCTCTGGAGAAAATAAAATGAGAAACTATGAAGTGAAAATTAACGATGGCCTCAGACATGGCACGGACATACGTACGTAGAATTGATCGATAATACTAAAATTGAGAACGAAGCCGATCAAAATAATTTAGATTAAGCGATACCTGGTAAGGTGTATTCGACATTTATTACGTGAATGAAATTTTCAACTACAATAGCCAATAGTCCTCAAAAGCAATTTTTGTTACACAACGTTCATATTTGATGATGCTTGACCTTTTCGATATAAAGTCGCCGACAGTAATCGACAGCCACCGATACGTACTACTTACGACTACATACGTTCTACTTAGTACTATCATGATAGTGTAACGAAACTTTAATGTAACATTAATGCAATAAAACACAGTAATTATTAGATCGCTGATTTCTATGCATTTACTGAAGATTATGCAAAAACACGCAATATGCAGTATAATGCACAAAAATATGTACATATATAAAATATTGAATACAATATATAATATTATATTAATAATGTATTCTAATACACATTAATATTAAATATGTTTATATTAAAATAAATTAATATTATATATTAAAATAATTAATATATTTATAATACATTATAATATAAAATAGATGACACAAATTTTCTATTTAGATCCTACAACTTTATATATTAAAATAATTAATATTTATACTAGTAGCAATATTAATATATTTATAATGTATTATATTATCTTCATTATAATATATTATAATATAAAATAGATAAGACAAATTTTCTATTTAGATCCTACAACTTTAGTTATGTTCATAGTAACTTTAAAATGCATAAAAATCCACAGTCTAGTGGTAATGAAACAAAATGAAATTTCTATAATTGTTGGCTTTCAAGTTTTCAGCCAATTATAGAATATTTTACAATGGACAAAGAATTGATTCGCTCCACTGCTACTCGTCACTTGAGCATTGAATTCTATACGTCCTTGAAACGTCCTTGAAATCAACTTTATCAAAGAGACGACATTCTCATGGAAAGCACGTGGTGGATGTCGCGTGAACGTCTAAGAACCTCTTGAAACTTGGAGTTAAATAGAATTCGAAAACTTGGACAATCAACTCACTAAAGACCAAAGTTGTGTCAACAGATTTCATTTATAATTCTTTTCGATCAAATTCAATTCTGTGATATCGAGGCCACTGTCGAGGAATGGGACGAGGCTTCTGTCCAGATTCTATAATCTTATGAATTTGAAAAACTGAAAGCTTCTTCTTAAACTCCGTACACACGTTGAACTTATATTAAAGTTTGAGAAGGAAAAAAGCAACGTCGGTCTCTCGCGAAAAAGAGTCATCTGAAAAAACTTTATACTTGTATAAAAATAGTCGTGCGATATTCTTTTTTATAGCCGTCCAAGTATCGACAGTTCTTTGACCAAAATTCAGCGATCCTTTAATCTCGTGAGGTAGTAGAACAATTTTCTATTTTTCCTCGATGCTTCATTATATTTAAAAAAAATATGAATTTATAAAAGAAATTCTATACTCATCTGCTCGTAAGTTACGAGTCGTGATTACAAGCTACGATAATACTTTCTTTGATAATGCACCAACACAGAATCGCGCTGGACAACCATCATCGTTTCATTCTTCTCACATACGTATTGTTAACTTGCTGCTTCCTTCTGTCCGAATTACGAAAAGTTAGGTTGACGTCAGTGTATTCACGTAAATGTAAAGTCGTATGTCATGCAGTGACACACCTGACAATTATGTAAAATTTCCTGCATTCATGTTACCCGAACTCTGTATTTCATGAGATAAACGGAAAGTCAAACAGCCAGGAGGACGACGTTCTGAACAGCTATTCTCTGTTCAGAACGTCGCGATTATCTCGACATTTTCAATACTGTTTGAAGCAGAACTTGGAAAAGAGGAACGAATCTAGTATTGATCTATGGATGCAATAATTAGATGAAACTTAGTTTTTGTAAGAAAGTAAAATAAATAAGTAACGGGGGTTATACGATGCTTTTTATCTAAACTTCTCCTTAATATGTTCTGTGAATATAACGACAATATGTGAATATTGTGAATATAGTAAGTATAATAAAAATATATAATATATAATATATAAAATATAAAATATAGTATATAAAAAATATATAATATATAAATATATAAAATATAGTGTATAAAAAATATATAATATATAATATATAAAATATAAAATATAGTATATAAAAAATATATAATATATAATATATAATAAAAAAAAATTATTACATTATATAAACTTATATATATATATATATATTTGGAGCTTTCTTAAAAGGCTTTAATAAAAATAGGAAGTAACAGAACAATAGATACCTAAGTTTGTTTCATTATTTGAATATAACTCGGAGTATTGCTTCGAAGAAGACATTAATATTATATAATTCATAATGTCAATATTACATATTGAATGTTATTACGTATTAATGTTAATAGTATCGTGAATTGACTCATTGATAAAGCAAAGTCATAGGATGATAAATTTAACTCTTTACTACTGCGAGATCTTCTATTAGTAGCAACGGTGAACGTTTTATAATACCTATGGCATTCGTAGTAATTATATTGATTGCGCATCTATTTTTGTTTATCCGTGATGTGTCTCAAGTCTTCTCTATTTTTAAAAAAATAAAAAATAAGAACAATTTTATCTTTTGCTAAAAAAAGAACGTCTCAGGTCATTTTATGGAGAAGAATATATGAAAATTTTAAAATGAACGAACTAGTAGTTTCGAATCTATTGGATGCTTTGTGAAACGCGCGCTTAAAAGACAAAACAAAAATCACTTTCGATTACTCGTAACTTAATACTCGTTAATTACTTGAATTAAAAAAAAAAAAGAACACTTTACATTTTATGCATACAAAACTAAAAAGTGCATATAAAATACGTATAAAACTAAAAACATTACAGCAGAAAAGATGAGAATGATTTCTCCAACTGTGGTGATGTTCGATTATTAATAAGAGTCACTGTATATGTGTCACGTGACATCCTCGTAAGTATTACAACTGTGAAAAACCCTCTAGTTTCCCACACATGTAAAATTTAAAAAAAAAAAAAAAAAGAAGAAATTGCAGAAAAGAGTTTTCAATTTTTTAAAAACCAAAATTATTTTCTCAAATCATTGTTTCTGTGATGATTGTTAATAAGAGTCACGTGACATCCTCGTAAGTATTACAGCTGTGAAAAGTCTAGCATTCCACGCGTGTAAAATTAAAAAAAAAAAAAGAAAAAAACAGCAGAAAATAGTTTTCAATTTTTTAAAAACCAAAAATTATTCTCTCAAGTCATTGTTTCTGCGATGATTGTTATTAAGAGTCACGTGACACTCTCGTAAGGATTACACCCGCGAAGAAAAGGTCCTCTAACATTCTATGCATGTGAAAATTCAGAAAAAAATTTTCAATTTTCTTGCCAAATCATTGATTCGGTGGTGTTCGATTATTAATTAATGAGAGCGTACGTATCATGCGACATCCTTAGTCGCGAGGATTACA